CCCTTTTTCCTTTACCCCCTTCCCTCCCTCCCCAATCCTTCCAAATCCCCCCCAAATCAAAATACCCAACCATCAAACCACAAACCCCCTCAGAAGCTCCCAAAACCTCACAAACTCTTACAAGCCCTTAAAACAAATAAGAAAGAAAAAAGGGGGGAAGGGAAGGAGAGTGGCAAAGAAAGCTCACCATCCCCATCCCATATATATATCAGACATAACAAGAATAATAGTCAGTGCGTCTTCCTACTGCGCTGTCGCTTGTAGTCAGCGGAAGCAAGTGCAACGCGGAAGCAAGTGCAACATTTGGCCACGCATATCGCTCTTAACTACGATATAGCGCTACGTTAACTAGTCGGAAAGACATATAAATGACATAGAATGGTAGGTATAATTAACTATTGTCCTATATAAAAAGAGTATATGTTTTTATTATAAATTATGTGCGATACGGACGAGTTTATGTGTTCCTATACCTTAATTGATTTTAGTAGGGTGCGCACGTGATGTGACTTTCCTAGGCATAAAGTGTGTGCGCGAGTACGTCCTTATATACTTTACTTAGTTATCTATATATTATAACACGCTATCGTCGTATTTCTTCTTAGCGTTAATATATTATAGACCCGATTAAGAGCTTTCTTTTGAGCCTGTAAAGAGGCTTGTATCTAGAAAAACAACTATAATATTACTATCTAACTCCTTGCGTTGCACTTGCTTCCGCGTTGCACTTGCTTCCGCTGACTATAAGCGACAGCGCAGTAGGAAGACGCACTGACTATTATACTATAACAGAAAAGTTCAAATTGTCATTTCTTATTCATTCATTCTTCATTCTTCATTCCCATAATTATCAAAAACCCCGCTTCCTTCTCCCTTCTTCTCCCTCCCCTTCTTCTCCCTCCCTCACACACAACACATCCCATCTCAACATATCCCATCTCATCTCACCCACGCATACCCATCCATCCCATCTCTCTTGCTACTCACAAACGAACGTCCCTCAATCCCCAACAAAAGCAGACTTTAGAGAAAAAAGAAAAGAAAAAAAAAAAAATCAATCTCGCAAAGGCAGCAAGCAGGCAGTAGGTATCGTATCTACATCATCACAACAAAAAAAAACTAAACGCCCAGTAATCGAGAAGAAGAAGAAATAGAGAAAAAAGGAAAATCCCATCATCTATCCTATGCCAAATGCCAGATACCCCCGTAAAAAACAAACCGAAAACGAAAAAGTGAAACGAGATGAACGAATGCCATGCAGCGCACCCCAGAGAATCATATCCATCCATCCATCCATCTCTCCCGTGAAAGAAAAAAGCGAAACGAACGAATGAAAGTTGTAAATGCGAAAAAGCGCAAAGGTACAAACCTGCTCCCGACCCAAACCATGAACATCGAACATCGACATTACTTCATTAAGCACACTCCACATGTGACCATCACCTATTCTCTGGGCAAATCCCCCATCAACTATGTGAGACCATCCCCAACACCCCTCAATACCCCCCACCATGCTGATGAACCGGACACTGACCGGGTCGACTCCCAAACCAATCCCGGATACACCTTAAATGAAACCGACAAAAGCACTCCAATCTCCCCATCTCAACACCCACCTCAAACTCCTCGAGACAAATCGTGCACTCGGCGTCATCCACACAATCCTTCTCCGTAGCCACATATGGGAAAACACCTGTGCGCCTCTGAGCCGGCTTCGGCGAGCCCACTGCAGGGGAGGCGGCGTTGGGCGTGGACGAGGAGGCAGCGTTGGTGATTGGTCGAGCGGGGGTGCTGGTCGAGCCTGGGGGAGGTGAAGAAGAGGAGGAGGAGGGTTCCAGAACGGATCTTAGACAGGCTTCGACGTGTTGCGCGCGTATGGTTTCGAAATTGGGGAGAGTTCGGGAGGGGAGTTCATGGTGACAGATCCAGCATTCGTCTTCTTCGGGAATCTGTTGTCTCGGTTGAGGTCTGGAAGGTAAAGGGCGAGATAAATCTGCATCTTGTCTAGGCACCACAGGAGAATATCGTTGAGCGAAAGTGGTAGCCATTGAATCGGTTGAAGTAGTGCTATTGTTGTTGCCCTAGAAAGAAAAAACACAACGTGAGCGAAAGGAGTCTCTATTGTATTTATTGGGTTTCCTGTTAATTACCATATGCCGTTGCACACGTGAGGCACCGCTGACCTGGGATCATGCTGTCAGTTTGATCGATCGTTGAGGAAGGGGGGCCACGCACTGTACTGCTTCGGGACCGAGCTTCATATATATCGAGCCCTGATCTAGGATCTTCCCCGAGACTATAAGACGAGCCTCTGGGATGAAGGTTGTCTGACATGCTGGGTCCAGGTCTTCCGGGGGAATTACGCAGCGCGTCTCGAACGGAAATAGGCGCGATTTGCCTGTTTGGTTGTGTTTGGGTTCGATGGTAAGAACTGTATGACGAAACGACCCCGCTTACAGAACGGCCATGACCGGGTCTGTTTGATTGTGTTGGCGATTGTATTCTAGAATCCGTTTGTGGGGGTGCAGTGTTTGGGTCTGGTACGCAAGGGTTGCAGAGTCTCACGCGTTCCCCTCCTCCAAGACTGGCAACCTCTGCAGCACTTCCTGCCCGTGCTGGATCTCTGGCTGGACGGGTACGGGAACTTGCAGATGGTTCTGGTACTCCCTCGACTGGGAGTTGAACAATATATTGATATGGTATGGTGATTCGGTGCGGGGAACAAGCGTTGCAAACGACTCGACCACACTTTCTAAAGGTTTGTTAGAACATCAACCATTTTCCGAGTCTTTAACAAATATCATATGACATACCTGCAATGATGTTTCCGGATGAAGAAACCTTTCAAAAGTTAGATAGTCATTCACAGAGGGCGAAATATTGGGTACCATACTGAATTGCGTATGACAAATAGGACAAATAGTAACCTCAGCGTCTGGCTGCCACCTAGGAACAACAACCTCTGTAGGTGTGCTCGTGTTCGTCATTCGTCTGTATCGACTCTGACTTGGTGGTCTTTCTCTGGGAGCATTTACGTTTGCAGTGTTGCTGGGGGTGGGCAGTGCAAAAGAAACCGAGTTGGCTGATGCTCTTCCATCAATATTGGGTATTTGTATTATGCTTGTTTCATTCACCAGGTCGTCATCGTCTTCGCTGGTTGTTTGGATTTGAGGTGCAGAGTTTCCTCTTCCTCTTGATTCACTTACCAAGGTATCTGGAGGTGTAGGAGGTAAAGGTGATTCATTCTGAGAATAAGTACCTGGGGTTCCTTCAAACCCTGATTCCCGCCAAAGTTCATACTGTCTATTGACATCTTGACTTCCCGACGCCTCGCCCGTCTCTACAAGTTGTTGGTAAACATTGGAATCCATCGGTTCTGCTGGGAGATTCTTTTGCTGAGCAAATGGTGGGAAAGGAGGAAGAGGGCGCTCGTTTCTTTGCTCTCTGAAGTATTGTGACGATGGACCAGCCGAACTTGACCCTTGGTCATCCATCTTGATTTTAAATAATAGAATTTAGCGGTAGATTGTATAAAACTTTGGCGATATGCGTAACACCAGATCTCAGAACCTTGCCCGAGTGAAGGGCTTGGGGTTTGTCCTGAATCCCAGCCCAAGTCGTATATTTTGGAATAGACGATATCTCGAGTCCCAGAAGATACCCAAGCGTATTTGATGAGCGGTAGACTCTTCGTTACCCCCTAATTCCGTATATTCAAATATAGCACTTCCGCCTGAGTATCGGGACTCGCAGAAGCCCGTCGAAAGAGCCCAGATCGAATCCCACCCCACGTATTCCCAAGTTGTTTTAACACACGACCACCTCGAGATTGTAACCGTATCCGTTCCCAGGCACGTTGTAATCAAACAAGCCCCGTATTGTATCCTCAAAGTATGCCGTTCCAAAGAGTACGTTTTACGCAGCTGGGTATCTCGCAGGACCGTCCCAATGAAGGTATCGTGTACTGACACTCGAAGTCTGTGAATATCCGGCGACACAATCCCTACGACAAAAACATTCAGTACCTTCACAATATACTCCCTACGGAATCGCAGGTCACAATGGCAGATCCATACCAGCAATAGCATTCAATCCTCACCACTCAAGACAACATCAGTCCCACTATCTCCCTCACTAAGACCAGCGTTGCTTTTCCCTCGATATAAAGTTGGTGGCGTCCTCCACCGCTGGTAAAAAGAAGCAGACTTCACCAGCCTTGATTGTTCTTCGAAAATGAAAAAGGCGGGAAGGAGATTATCGAGGCTGTCGAAATCACGTCCAGAAGAAGAGGGGAAAGTAATTGTGTACGTCGGACAAGCGCAAGGCTTCGTATGTTTTACTCTTATCGTCAATCTTCTTATCGCAGCCGTACTACGGCTTCATGCCTGAGGCTAACAATAAAAAATACCTCTAGGTGAATAACATACATCCGCTACCTATGCTATGACGCAAGGAATTAGGAACTACTATAGATTCACCTCATTACTAACTGGATCGAGATGTTGAGCTTTTCAGATGCTCACAGATGGTAAGTCGACACGTGAGGGGGAAAGAAGCAACACATCACATCTTGGCATTCTGTATCCGCAGGGTTAACCTTTGGAAACTGATCGAGTACACACAAGCATGTCACTTGGTAGGGAATGTTTTAAAAGCATCGTCTCATTAAAATAATCCTAATACATGATCCCGGACATGGAAGCTCTAGCGCTCCAAATCGACCGGTCCGATGAAAATCGGTCTTTTTTGCTCGACCACATCTAATTTGGGACTGATGCAGGCAGGCTATAAAAACAGCACAGCTTGCAAAAAATAATTACATAATCCCTCTAATGCTCCAACAGTCTCAAGGAACCTTGTACGACGACGTTCTCCAAGATGGATCCGGGTGGGACATCAATGGTGCTACCTTCAGTAGCCACGATGATAACCGTACCCTTCAATGTAACACCACGACCAAGATTGACGGCACCAGTGATGGTCAAATGGTCAAGCTCAATGATTTTTGGAATGCTACCGATACGCTTTTGGAAGTCGGAAACCTTCTTAAAGTCATTACCAAGCTTGATAAGTGGAGCTGGTCCAAATCTGTTGGGGTCGATTTGGAGTTGACCGTGCTTGAGCGAATACAAATCCGACTTGACAAGCATCAAGTCAGAGCAGGTCTTGACTGGCAAGAAACGTCTTCGAGGAACGTTTACACCGTGGGCGTTGTGGAAATGACGGATGGCAGCACCGACGGCAGTCTCGAGTTGGACGATGGAGACATCCGATTCTCCCTTCTTGTCTGCTGGAATAGACTTGTTGTTGGGGATGATCTCCATTTCGAGCTCATTGTTCTCAACAATGCGCTTAACTGCCTTCAAGTTCAACCAGATGTTGTTGGTGTTGAAGTACTTGAATTTCTTGATTGACTTGAACTCGTTGGTGTGCTCTTTTGGTACTTGAGCAATTTCGAGAAGACGGACGGATCCTTCGTAATCGATAATGGTACCACCCTTAACATCGGCCTTGGTCTTGTCGGTCAATTCCATAATGTACTCAGACTTGGTCTCCACCATGTGTTGAAGAATACGGAGATCAACAACAGCTCCCAAGTTGTCGACGTTGGAAAGGAAAAGAATCTCGACACCACGCTCGATGAGTTTATCGAGAATACCGGAGTTGTAGAGGGACTCGAAAACATCTCCGTGTCCTGGTGGGTACCAGTCAGAGATGGGAGAGTCGAATGTTTTTGGTGCTGGGAGGAGGGAATCTTTTAAGATTCTTGGGTATCGGGATTGGTTGAAGGTCAAAATGTCAATGTTGTGACCCTCGTATTTTTTGATGATGTTTTGAGTGTCATCATCCGTGTTGAAGGAGTTCATCAGGACGAATGGAACGTTTACGTCATATGTTCGGTTGAGGTATTCGATTTGTCGGACAGAGAGATCCAAGAATGACATGCCATCACGGACCTCAATAACCGACTTGGGACCAACACATCCCATAGATGTACCAAGACCACCGTTGAGTTTGAGGACAGCGAGCTTGCTCAAAAATCCGACGGACTCTGAGTTGGCAAGTTCATTGTAGTCGACAACTTGGTTGGTGGCTGGAGGAGCAATACGATCCCAGTCACTGGAAGTTAATTAGGTTTAGTTCTTTCGAAAAGTGGATGGTGAATCTTACAGTTGGTTTCCCTTGGCCTTGTCATTCAAGTATCTTCGGAAAAGAGCAAAGAAGTTGTCCATCTCAGTCTCGAAGAGCTAGGTAGTATTAGCAGATATCCCCACGCATGTCGAGATCGTAGAATATAGTACCTTCTTCTCCGTAGGGTCTGTGACGGTATCGGCAAGGTTGTTCAAGGCATTTCGCATCTGACTAGCGGCTACCGAGGTAGAGGTGTTCTCGAAAGCCTGGTCATCATTTATTAGTTTTGCTAAGTCTTGAAGAGTTGGCGTTGAAGACATGTCGGCGGCTGCAACACCGGGGGAGCTATGGCCATCAAGGTTCCGCGAGGACAACGACGGCATGGAAGAATCGATGGTGCCCATGTTGACCAGTGGTATATAACCTCCAAATTGACCTTCGCGTATGGACCGTCTCAAGGCGGGATGTAGGTTGATATCGGGCCGGATTATGGGAGAGAAGGATATGGTCTTGGGGAGGTCGTTGCTGCGGATATGAAGCTCGTGGCTGCCGTTTCTGAGATGATGCGTGCGGAATTCTGGAAGGAGCAAGCACCACTTCACTGGCTCGGCCATCGCATTTATCGCATTGCTTCAGACTGGGCTGTGGTGTTGCGTGATTGTTCAATTGACGAGGCGGAGATGTTGTCCAGCTTGAGGTTGTGAATGGGCAGGATTAGACGGTCCATCTCTGATTGTCGAGCCTCTTCTAGCCGAGCTTCCCTCCGATGTTGTGTTGCAGTGGCAGCCAGTATGATTATGAAAATGCTTCACTCACCATGTGGGATTGTGTCTTGCCATGGTGCTTTCTCTGGAATTCCAGAGCATCACCCAGGTTGGAGGGCTTCAGATGCGAAGGCAACGCACTCTTCAATGCAGCAGCCATTTTCGAGATGTGGTGGGAGGGTTCTGGTGGAATGGAGGGGCGGGTTCTAGAAGGGGACTCGGGTTAGCGAAGTGCAGTGCGGTGCAATGGTTCCGATTTTGAGGTCTTTGATATTGACACATTGACGTAATGGTAGAGGGGAACCTCGACGAAGCGAAGGAGCTTTTTGATGCTCGATTTCAGGGGTCTTGGATTGAACTTACTGGCTGATAGACGCTTCACGAGCACGGATTGAATGGGAGAGCAGAAAGGGAGAGCAGAAAGGTAGAGGGATAGAGCTGGCAGATTCGGGAAGGGGAGACGGCCTTATGTATCTTCTGATGAAGCTGCCAAAGAGGTGGGAATAATTAATTTCGTCGGGTCTCAAAAGCCTCGTCCAAAATGCTGCGGGCGGCCTGCAGTTGCTGCAGTAGTGGGTGCAGAGGGTGGCCCAATCGAGGTCGAACAGTGGGCCACTCCCAACAGGACAAGGATCATTCACGTCGCTTCCGTGGTTAGCGGTTACTACTTTCCCCCAAGACTCACAAGCTCAGCAGGTGGCAGCCTGTAGGGCCACTGCCTTTACCCACCACTCTTGAGCTTCGTTTAAAAGCGGTGTCGAATACTTCCATCCAACCTTTTGGCGGTGGCGAATCGCTTACTCTGTCGCCCAATTGATTCCATGCCCGCTCCGGTTTATCGACACTAACAAGTCCATGTTGACTCGTTTAGAGAGCTACACTTGGCGCCACCCATTCCGGTGCATTCATTGCTGGTGAATGGTGGTGAATGGTGGTGATGGTTATCCCATGGGATGGCCCTCAACTTCCTTCGGGAAGAAAATAGGGGGAGGAGCGTCGAGGGGGGTTCCACTGAACCGTTGGCGGCCCTTCCCGACCCACCAACTAATACTTCCCTTGTCAGTACTCATCTCATCCAGCATTTCGAGTCTGGATGAGTTGATGGTGCCATCATCCAGACCGTGGTACGGAAGTCGAGCCAGATCCGCGAAACGAACCCTATCTGTGCCTGCCTTTCCCGAGTCTCAGTCTCACACGCTCGTGGCGGTCGTAAAAGATTGAGATATCCGAATTTTTATATATCGGCAGACCTGCGGCACTTCCAATTGTGGACATTGGCGTGTAACAACGTATGAAAGCGTTCACGACAGCTGGCACAAAAACGATAAAGCCACGACGCTGGCCAGTCCACAACAGCGGTTGCTCGATTGTTCCGCCCACGCAGTTATCTATCATGGAAAATTGGAAGCGTGGGGGCCCAAATTCTTTTCTTGAAAGGGAAAGAAGACTCCAGAAGTATCGGGTCTTCAATTTCTCCTTTCAACGATTCCAGGCTACGAAATGCCTCGATTCGGATGCAATATTAACGAGGCAACCATCAGCCAGGTGAGGTGGAGATGAGAACAACGACAAGCTTGGATCAGTCATCACTCGAGCATCTGGTGAGAGGCCAGCTGGCTCTACCATTAGTCCCGTGGATGGCGAGGGGGGTGGATGGTGGGGCGAAAAGGATGCATAATCGCCTCCACAGCAATCTCATTTCCACATCTGGATTTTGTTGCAAGTCGACAAAAATGATTTTCTCGATCAGATCTCCCGATTTGGGTGGCGTCGATCCGTGATGGCGCCATGAGGCTGAAGTCTCATTGTCTCAGTGTACAGTACCATCCAAAAATAGGATGGACGGTGGGGCGATAAAAGATGAAGAATAAGCGATAGTTATTGACGTTGGGAAGGTCATGAACTTGCTTCTGTTCTGCGAAATGCTCAGTATATTCGCACTTTCAATGTTCTCTTTTCCAAGCAAATTCTCCGCATCCTGCCCAGAAGCATGGGGAATGTCACGAAAACAGTTTGGCATCGTGCATAAGACGAATCTCTTTCTCTTTTTCTCTTTACTTACTCGAGTACGAGCAATACGAGAAAGTCACGTTTGTATTTCAGCTCCTTCATTTTTTTCACGTCCATCTTGTTTATTTGTTTCACTACTTTTCAAAACATGATAAAGAGATGTCGGACTTCTACAAATTAGAAGAACCACTAAATCATCCACGTTCGCTAGATCCATGCTAATAGCACATCAATCACATGGATTTTCGGCTTCCCACAGTCGGTCGCATATCAATCTCAAATTACTAATTTGCATACAAAAACGGATCATATCATTTCTAGGACATCGAGTTCAACATCAAAATCGGCCCTGAGTACCGGTCCAGTATTGTGTACCTTGATGCCCAATTAGGAGATTAGGAGATCCAGTGCAAGGCAGCGATATACACCACGACTCGGTAGGAACCTCAAAATTAAAAGACTCTCGGGTTGTGAAAAGTTCTCGATAGGTATAGGTAGGTATGCATCATCACTCTCACCACGTGGTAATGATGGTAATGTTACACAAGCAACCGTTTTCTTCCACAAAATCTCCCAGGCTCCTTCCTCAGATCAGACATACAAAGATTTGTCTCACCAGAGGCCTGAATTCCACCTCACATCCAACCACTTCTTCCTCTTAATACATGGACGGTAGCTAGTCTAGTGTATAGGTAAGCGCCGGACCAAATAAACCACGTGCCCCCCATCCCCTGGGGACTCGCACATGATAAAAGGACTCTGTTGCACATCGCACCCTCCTCGGCCCTTCCCGCTTTCCTGCAGGTAGCAGTGGTAGCGTGGCATTCGTGTTACGATATACTTTACGGCTCTGGTTAGTTGGATGGTTGGTTGGCTCTTGCCTCATTTTATTATCCGTTGGATACTTACATGTATATACAACCCCTTCGCAAAGGAAGAATCTAGGCTCTCTTAATAGTGTACTACAGGGTATTTTTGCAAGGTATTTTGTATGTACTGTAAATGGCTTCTTTCCGCAGTTTCCAAAGTAGGATCGTGAAATCAACTTGCTAGGTAGGTACTTTTGCGAAGGGGGTATAGGTATAGTACCACATGTGTGATCCATCTCTTTTCTTCTGTACAAGAAGGGAGAAAAATATTGATGAATATGCTGTCGTTGTAACGGGGTAGATACATATGTAGGCTGGTGTTAAAGTTATGAGCTTTCCTTTACTCGTAGGTACCCGCTGCAAAAATGGGAAGAGATTGTTTTTTATATATATCGCTCCTTTGTAGTGACTTCTTTTTGTAGCGTAGCGGTACTTAGGTAGGTATTATCTAACTAGAAAAATACAGAAAATATTATAAAGATTAAGAACGGAGGATGGAGGATGGAGGATGATTTATTGAGATACTAGAGCCTAGAGTAAAGCTTAGTAGTAAATTAATAGCGTAGATATAAAATTATAAATTATTTAGAATTTAGAATTTTAGAAATGCATTGTATTTTTTCTTTTTCTTTTCATAGTTGAAGGAGGTGAAGCTCCTGGGTAATTTATAGTTAGGTATATTCCGACTCTCCCTCGTGTTTCTTAATCTTATTCTCGTAGTAAGTTGTAAAAATTGAAATAGTAAGATGTCGTGGGTGGTGAGTATTTTGTGAGTCTTTCTGGAGACACTAGTTCAATAAGATTACTACAATGCCTCCCTCTTTTCTATGTTTTCTTGGTATAATTAACTGTCTGAAGATATATCAGGCGGATATGAAAGATATTAGATACTTGGGATTACCCCCTTTGGTAAGTGGAGTTCCTATTTAAAGCTTAAGAGCTACTAGGTACTGTAGAAGGTCGTCTTGGTTATTCTACTTTGGAGGAAATTCATGCCTCTACATGATATACTGTCTTAGTATTGTACTTGGATAATTAGTTCCAATTATAGTACCGCCAGATTCGTAATTTGTCGTCTGATTCATGTTTATATATCCATCCACAGTTAGACCCATCCGAATTCACAGTATAATCGACAATGTCGTCCAATTCGAACGTGGCATAATTTTCGACAGTGATTAGCGGAAGTCTATCACAAAAGCCGTTCGAGTCTTGGTTTCCGATTTTCTAAGGCAGGGTGTATAGTGGGTTTGCGAGGAAGTCGATACTTTCTATGCTTGTTCAGTCCTTTTTGTAAGGCGAGTTCTCCTATGATAGTGTCTTGATTTGTTCTTGTATAGTCTTATAACATGGTTGTGACGGTTGATTATATGTTTGTTCAGTTAACCCAGAAGTGAATACAGCGCACAGAAAATTTCTTGAAGATTTTGTCTGGTGTTTCTGGAGATGCCTTGAAATATGTGGTTAGAATTTCCACTGCTCTTTTAATCTCGTCTATGGCGGGAGGAAAGCGGAGGAAGAGGGGGTTGCACTTTGTGAGTTGGTCACATGGCATCCACTGACCAAAAACCCATTGTAAGCCCAGAAACGATTTTAGTTTCTTTACTTCACTTTTAATTTAACAGTGAGGATTGTTCAGATAAGTTACTGTTCCTTGGGGTTCAGGTGTGCTGTTTGTTTATGATTCGATACTCTTTTCGACTGAGAAGCTCTTTGGCAAAAGACCAGTGACTCTTCAAAAGTAATCGGAAGTGCAATTCAAGAATATCAACAGCTGATACCCAGCTAACGCTCAGAATCAAATCCCTTAGTTCTACAATAGCAGATATAATATTCTGTCACTAGTGATAATAATGTGATATAGCGTTTTACTATGGAACAAGACACAGCCCCTTGAAAAGGTACATGAGCTATCACTCAAGACTAACAGCTACATATAAAATGGTAGAAGAATGCATCTTACAATTCGGGCACAATCAGATAGATGAACCTACTTAGCAGCTCATGACCACAACCCAAAAGCGTGAAAAGACCATTCTATCACTCGGTCCCTGCTCACCAGGCCATCCGCGCTCAGCTCAAACCTGTGCCGCGCAAACCGTCATTGCCTAGAAAACAAAATAGAAAACTAAAATTGTATGGATGCTGAAGTTCTTTCGACAGTAGGTGTTTACTCGACGGTAGAACGAATTTAAGATGACGACAGGCCTAGGGGCTATCACGGGAGTATCTGAGCGACTACCATACTTTCTCCATTGCTGTAGTGCTCTATAAGGGGGCATCATAATGAGAACTGGAACTGCGGCTTCGTAACAATCGAACAAGCCAGATCTGAATTCGGAATGCTTCTGTGTTCTTCATTCCGTGACACTGTTTCCTCGCAAGTTGAGGTAAGGACTGAAATACTAGATATCTGAGGCTGATGGTAATTACCAAGATTCTTTTTACGAGTTTATCTTTCTACATATTCATGGCAAGACTGTCTGCAAAATCTCAAAAAGAGATAGCGCAAACCTCCTAAGCCTCTTTCCTTGGGCAAAGTGTCCAAAACAAGAATGACCATAATGGTCCAGGCAAGGCAACAAACCAAAATGCTCATATATGCGTTTACAGGCCGCCAAAGATCGAGCCCTCAAAAGGAAATCCGAGGTTGCATTAAAAGGTCAACCTTACACCTCCAGTGACTCGGTGGTTCAAAGGTATCGGGATAATAACTCTTCTGTTGAATGCAACCAAGAGTCAAAGATCCAACCCATACATTCTCACCATGTCATTACAGCACTAACCTCCAAATGTACAGATTTTCATTTGTTGCACATCGGCCAGTTCCCCGGAACTTCCATGTTCCACACTTTTTCTACTACA